TTCTCTGCAAAATTTTTCGTCCAGACGAAAACAAATTATCGTCCGCGGCGATTGGTTCTCTGGAAAATTTTCGTCCAGACGAAAATAAATATCGTACAGGACGATCAGTTATCTGCAAAATTTTTTCGTCCAGACGAAAACAAATTATCGTCCGCGGCGATTGGTTCTCTGGAAAATTTTCGTCCCGACGAAATAAATAATCGTCCAGGACGATCGGTTCTATGGAAAATTTTCGTCCAGACGATCACATTTTCGTTCAAACGATAAACCGACTTAGAACAGTTTTCAGCAGTTTCTAGAACCGACCTTGTAATAACCGTTCGTACTGGACGAACCAAGTTCGTACAGGACGATCAGCTGTCGAGGAGGAGCTTCTTCCTTCTCTTCCTTCTCCTCTTCCTTCTCTTCTTGCTTGGATCCTTTCTTGTGAAGAATGAGGGCTCTATTTATATATTTTCTGGAGTGGCATGGCCCGTAAATAAGTGTGAGATAAGGGGTGAATAGGGAGTGGTTTGAATGGACGTCGAGGAGGAGCTTCTTCCTTCTCTTCCTTCTCCTCTTCCTTCTCTTCTTGCTTGGATCCTTTCTTGTGAAGAATGAGGGCTCTATTTATATATTTTCTGGAGTGGCATGGCCCGTAAATAAGTGTGAGATAAGGGGTGAATAGGGAGTGGTTTGAATGGACGGCCGATAGTGAACCCTTCGATCGTGCACCATTTGTTGGACATTAGTAATGATGTCAGAATTCAGCAATCTTGGGCTCGTTAGATTCGTCTCGTCGAGCCATTCGATTCGAGTATAAGCTCGTCAAAATCGGAGACCGTTTGGTAACTCAAATTGCGGTTTAAACCTTCTGACAGCCCTTTGAGCCCTTGATTTGGACTCATTTGGACTTAGATTGGGTTGATCTTGGTGTCGTCAGGTTCGTATTTCCGAGACGCTCAGTTTGACTATAAGCTCGCTGAAATCGGAGTTCGGGTGCTCCCAAAATTAATTTTTGAAGTTTCCAACTAGCTTTTGCCTCTAGATTCGTGCCTGATCAAGCTAATTTTTTGATGATGTATCAATATTATATGATCTTGATCATACTAGATTATATGTTATTTAAAGAACACCTGCCCTTGATTCCGGATTTCTAAATATAAGTGAATTTGAATTTTAAAAATTAAACTAAATGTATTTTATGAACTAATTTGTACTATGCAATTATAATATATCTTATCTATTTTGAAATTAAATTAAGTAATCAAATTAGGATCAAATTTTATTTATATGTAGTATTGTTTGATCCCTAGAAAATAGAACTCATATTACGAGAGTTTTTCTTAAGATAGAACTAATCATATAATATTGAGGGGTTTCTTGGACTATGGTCTCTGTGGTGGCATTGTCTATATGGTGTGCTAGGGCTTTTCCCTAGCCGTTCTCTGTCGGCGGTGCTTGGCTTCTTCCTCTGCGTGCCGAGGGAAGTTCTTTTCCTCTTTCATTTTCTTTTGTTCTTTTGTCGGAATGTCGGTTTGTCGTTTAGCCGATCCTGGTTTTCTGGATGGATCGGCTAGGTCTCGCTCATTTTTGGAAGCTTTAGCGAGATCATCTCTTGGTAGATTTCTCGATCTTATACGGTCTTCTTTATGTGGCGTTCTTGCTCTTTTGGTTTCGGATGAGGAGTTTTTTTTCTTGCCGAACCATTTAAGTTTTCGCTTGTTGGCTTCTTCCCTTCGCGACGACCTCTGCTCGCGTTGATTCAAATTTTTTATTCAACCTTCATTTAAATGACACTTTTTCGGTGACCTTGTTGGATTCATCTCATAATCTCATTAAGCTAGATAATGATCTTGATTATATTAGGGTATTTTGTCATAGGTCATATCTAGTTTTCAATTGCTTCATGAAGGTGTCTAAATGGTCTCCTTCCAGTGACATTGGAGATGAGTCTCCCATTTTCCCGATCTGTATCTCATTCCCTAATTTGCGTTCCCATTTTTTCTCTCCTAATATCTTGCATGGATGGGGGATTCTCTTTGGTAACCTCTTAAAGGTGGATAATGCCATTACGTTGGGGTCTCGCCCATCTATTGCCCGTGTGCTGGTTGAAATTGATATTACACATAAATTTTTGGACAAGATTTGGATAAGACCAGAGAAACTAGGTTATTTTTTCAGTAAGTTACTATGGAAGATTTTTCTCTCTTTTGTCCCAAATGTAAGCGTCTTGGTCATTCTTTTGGTGACTGACGACCTACTCTTAATGCTAGCTTGCATGCTGCTCCTTCTTTATCTAAACCAGATTTACAGGTTTCTGATGATATTAGCATTCCTGTTGGCGATAGGGATGTTGGGGATTTAGGGGATACTGCTCTTATCCTTCTTAGTCCTATTGTTGCTAATCCGTCTCCTATTGTTTTACCGCCTGTGTGTCAGGAAAGTTTTGTGGCTGTGTCTCCCATTGTTTTTCCCATTATTGGTGAAGTTGGGGTTGCGTTAATTCTGTCTTGCCAATTTTAATCTCCGATTGTCCCTTTTTCTATTATTGTGATTTGTTCGAGTGGCTCTCCTGTTGTTTTGGTGGAGCCCGTTGCTGTGCTGGATTCCCCTATCTATCTTATTAATGCCCTATGCTGTGGGTGTGCCTTCTGTCAGACTAGTGTCTTGCCTGATCTTTCCCCTACAGCCCCTGCGCCTGCTGATGCTGTTCGTTCTAGTTTTTCTTCTGTTGTTAATGGGGAATTGGTGGTTTATGGTGCGATGGATGGGGTTGATTCTCCTAATGTGGCTCCTGCCCTTGTGGCTGTATCTGATATCAACTGTTGTATTAATCTTAGTGATAGTCTGATTATTGGTGATGTTGCAAAATTGTCTGTTGATAATTCTGTTTCTTTTGTTGATAGTGGCGTGGAAGCCTTGGCTGCTGTTGAGAAGGAAGGTATTATGATGCCTCTAGTGGATGAGTCTATTTCTATCATTTCAAATGCTAATATGTTAGCCCATATTGTTAGAGATGTTAGGTGGCAATATTATTAGTTACATGATGACATGGCTATTGATAGTGGGAAGGTCTTTATTGATAACACCCTGGATACAACCTCACTCAATAATTTTGTTAGACAACATAAACGGAATTCCAAGAAGAAATTATTTTCTTCTTTTGGAAGTTATAAGATGTGCTATTTGGTTATTTTTCTTTTTCCATTGCTTTCGTTGCGATGCTGGATTTGATTCAGAATGGACGATGAAGAAACAGCTTTGTTGCATGCGCCTTAGATGGCCAGGGTTATTTGGCAACCTGGGTGGCTCGATGCGCCTTTTCGTTTCAGATGTTTTGTCTGTCCTCCATGGATGGCCCCTCCCTGGCAACTAGGTGTCGGTCTGAGTCCGACATTATGTCGATTTTATCTTTCCTACTCTCAGTTTGCTTTCCTACTGCTATTTTTTATTTTATCATTAATTGTAATTCTATTGATGTGGCCCTTCTTGAGGTCTTTTTGTTATATCTTCCTATCTTAATAGAATTTTTTATTCCGATAAAAAAAAATAATCGTATAATGTTAAATTAAAATTTAGGATTTAATTTAAACAAGAAATTCCTGTTCTTTTAATCAAATATGTGTGAAGCAACATATTCAATAGACGTATTCTTGAGATACATGGCATGCAATTAAAATTGTTTGATGTCGTTTTTTCATTAAGCCTAATGAAAAAATCGAACTTGTGAAAATTTTATAAAAATTTGAAAAAAATAAAAATAAAAATATGATAGTTCCGATGCTTAGAATATAAATCGCCACTTGACGTGGCGCATGGCCGATCCGCCATATGACCCTGCGACGTATAGTCACGACAGATGGCAGACGTGGTTCCCAGAGTCGGTGCATGACCCTAGCTGGCTCAGAGTTCCTCTCCCGCCATGTGGCTTCCAGGCATTTGCCCTGCGAAATCCCTTGCTGCAATGTGATAACCCTATCCCTCTTCTGCTTTCCAACCGCCAAGCACCACTAAGGCGCACTAACAAACAGCGGGACAAAAAGACGAAATATAGATGGAGAGAATAGCATGGTAGAGTGGACTACTACCCATATGCGATTTTGCTTTATTGGAATCAGCAGTCCAAAGTTTTCGGTGATTGATTTGAGATTGAGGGAGAGTCTTCGGGGACTTTCTCACTTGCTATTGTGTGAGAACTATACTGGGATACTATTCACTGTGGAGATTGGAGTGATAAGAGGTGAGTGGATATAAATCCGCCATCTTATTTCAGCTCAGTAGGTACCGTGGAATCAGCTCTTTCTTCACGTACAGCTAACTTACGCCTTCCAGTTGCCGAGCATCTCCTCCCTGCCTTCTAAAAACACTCATCTGATTCTTGACTAATAAAGATAGGTCAAGAATCTCAACATTCTTCAAATGAATCTTCTATTTCTGCATTGAATTTTTTTTAATGGATGATTACTTTTTTCTTTCTCAGAAAGGATACGGAGCTTGCTAAAGTTCTGTTTTGATTCGAAGCTGCTTCAATGGCAGCAGCTCAGTTGCGCGTTGTTATGCCTATTGAGTTCTCAACCAGTATTGGGTTCTCGGATGCAATAAGAGAAGGAGGGAGTAGGCTATTGAACCCAAAGAATGATTGTAGGTTTCTACAGAGGAAGAAGATAAGATGGAGTTTCTACTCTCTGTTTGCAAACACGAACTATGCTTGTGTTGTCCAGGAGACAGAGAAGGATTTGAAGTTCCCCATTTATTCGAGCATGGTTGCGAATCCGGTGGGAGAGGTTGCCATTTCTTCAGAGCAGAAGGTTTATGATGTGGTCCTGAAGCAGGCGGCTCTTGTGGAGCAGCAGCTAAGGAGGAAGACAGCTATCGAAGTGAACACAGACATGGTAGTTCCTGGCACCGTTTATTTGTTGAAGGAAGCTTATGATCGATGTGGGCAAGTCTGCGCAGAGTATGCCAAAACCTTTTACTTGGGTTAGCACTTTTTGTCTAAAGCTTTCTGGCTTGGAAGAGGGAGGATATGCCTTCATTCTCATTTTACTTATTGTGATAATCTTTCAGGAACTCTGCTAATGACACCGGAGAGGAGAAGAGCAATATGGGCAATCTATGGTAGTTTTGATCACTGGCCCCTTTTTTAGAAACTGTGTTTTTTCACTTGTTCTGTTTTAGATCTATTTTGGTTGATTTAATATACGCATAATTAATACGGATATAACATAGATATGTTGCCAAAAAAAGTGTTTTCTTAGTTTAGTTATGAAAGTTTCATCCTCTTGATCATCACTCAAATCGATTCCAACTCGAAGGCCACATAATCTCTAGGTGCTTTTTAGAAGTAGGTAATTAGTGATATTTGATTATTAGAGAACGAATCATAGGGGATCAAATTTCTGCTATTTCTATTAATATTCAAAATCATTTTTAACTTACAACTTAGGCCTTTGAGTGAAGGCCAATCAGTAGGTATTTTCTGATTCCGTATTTTTGAACTATCCTAAGGACTAAACTCAACGTCTTATAGGTGGACTAAACTCAACGTCTCTATCCTTTGAGCTATCCCAGTCACGTGCTCAGTTGCACTGCACTCCCATACTGGAAGGGAAAAATTATTGAGACAAAATTACTTCAAAAGTGGTTTATATTATCAAATTTTAAAGCTAGCTAACCGAAAAAAAAAAAAACTGCTATGCCTGCCATAATATGGGAATTTAACTGTATCAATATTTTTTGGGAGCCAAAATCTGTCGGGTTGGACAAACATTTACTATGATCATTGGTGTTCAGTAATATGCTTGATAATTTTAAGAAAATGCGCTTTCTCTAAATGGATTCCCATTTATCCCCGTTAGCAATGCTTCATTGTCCTAACTAGATTCATAGAAGAGAGTAGGATGTCGCATGGACAGTTAGACATTTTCTTTTTTGAATCTATGAACCTCAACATCAGGCAAATGCTTTAGATGTATGGCATCCTTAACTTATGAAGAAGCGAAGGGCAATTGAATATATAATAGTGATAAAAATCGGTGTATGAAATGCATTTTGCTTTCTACAATATAAAGCTGTGCTAAAGTAGGTTGCATTTAGCATTATCTTTTAATATCAGAGAGATTAATTCTCTAGTTAAATGCAACATACTTCAATCATTGCTATCAAATAACTTTTATTTTGTTTTACCAGTATGGTGCAGGAGAACAGATGAGCTTGTGGATGGTCCCAATGCATCCCATATCACTCCGTCAGCTCTTGATCGGTGGGAGGCAAGGCTGGAGGATGTATTTGCTGGACAACCATATGACATGCTTGATGCTGCCCTTTCGGATACTGTTGTTAATTTCCCTGTCGACATCCAGGCTTGTGCCATCTACCACTTATTTTGGTTATCTTTTCTCACCTTTTTTATATATAAATATATATATTTTGTGATTTTATTTCAATCTACAGCCATTCAAGGACATGATAGAAGGAATGAGAATGGACTTGAAAAAATCAAGATACAAGAATTTCGACGAGCTCTATCTATATTGCTACTATGTTGCTGGTACTGTAGGATTGATGAGTGTTCCAGTGATGGGCATTGCTCCAGAATCTCATGCTACAACTGAGAGTGTTTACAATGCTGCATTGGCTCTAGGAATTGCGAACCAGCTTACAAACATTCTTAGGGATGTGGGGGAAGAGTAAGTTATGATAGAAGTCTCTTAATCTCTTTGGAAATTAAATGTTATTCAGTTATGTTGACATGATATTTAGCCCCCCACACACAACAACTAACTGTCGGCCACCCACGACACTCCACACGATCTTCCTAGGCACCCACGTCGGTCACATCGTATACACGTCTGAAGGGCAATTGATGGTATAAAAAAACGAGAAAATGAACAAGGGTTACACACACTTACATTGAGGCAATAGGGACTTTTGGCTTTGATCTCAATCTTCTATGAGCAATCAAACCCACCTCTCTCTTTCGACAGTCCATCGAAGCCCTCGGCTGTCGATCTGATCCGGCTGAGTGGATAGAAGACGTGAAGCTAAATTCCAGGACCAAACAACTTCCTAAATCCGTTGGCCGTCGTTGATCTTTCCTGCTAGGCAAACTGGAAAGGGCAAGTGCCCTCCCCAACCTCTCCTCGTAGGGAGGGGGTGCCAGAAGGCTGCCTGATTTTCAAGGGTAATAAAAATTATTTTTAAATAAAATTAAATCAGTTAATTAACAAGTCACACACAATAAGGATCATCGAACACCAATTTCGGGATTCGATAACATTCCGAAGCACTTGGCCTTCGGTTATCTTTCTCGCTGGGTGGGGACTCAAAAGGTCATATGCCATTCCCAAGCTCCCCTCATAGCGAGGGTGCGCCAGAAGGCTGCTGGATTTTCGAGGGGAATAAAAACTATTTTTTAAAATTTATTAAGTCACTCAATTAACAGGTTGCACACAATTATAAGACTCGAAGACTATTTTCGAGATCGATTCGCTCCCCCAAACTCATCACCCTTGATTTGATCTGGTCTAGTCGAACCAAAAGGGCAAGTGCCCTCCCCAACCTTCCCTTGTGGTGAGGAGAAGGCAGGAGGCTGACAAAATTGATAATGACAAATGATCTTCACATGATTTAATTTCAAACAGAAACTATCATTTTTAAATGATTTATATGTATGCCACTTTAAACATTTCAAAAGACTTTCATAGGATAATAATTAAACCTAAGTGAAAGCATCTTTCATAATAATAGAAATATATGACACCCAAAAAAAAAAAAAATGACACCAACATTTGAGGATGAATATCCAAAATTTCTCCAATCACAGGTTAATAATAAATGCAAGAGATACTCACAAGATGTCTTGAGATGAGAACATACACCATACTCATATAAAAATTCTTGAATTCAGTCCTCTTGGTTGTCTATATTCATGTCCTTTCTCTTCATGTGGATAACAGCCTTTGCTCACTTCAGTGGATATCAGGTTAATGCACATGACTAAGAAATTGATTGGAAATTCTTTTCTTATTTTTAAATGACTCCTGATGGATAAATCTGCTGAATGTAAATTGGCATAACACTTAGCATACCCTTCAGAAGTGTTAAGTTTATCTCATTGAGATAATATTCTTTGTTCTCTGCCAGAAAAAGCTTCTTCTCCCCAATGATAATTCATTATTGTAAAATCAAAATTTTAGAATCACTGTTTAGTGGACCAACTAGTTTTTATGCTTGTACATAAGCTCTTTAGAAATGATCTCTTCCAAATATCTCATATTATAGAGGACGTCAAGTATGAAAAATATATTCGGATGACAGAGATCTACCATGAATGATTGTTAGAATTCCTTAGTGAATGAACTTCAACAACAAAATAAAAATTTGAAAGTGTTCAACTGATAGTGGTTTAAGCCTTCTAGGTACCACTATGCACTGTGCAAGTAACTAGTGTACTGGACTACGAATCAGAGTGATTGATATAAAATGCATTATCAGGATAACAATTATGATAGCACATAGGTTATTCACAATTAGTAATGCCCGCACAATTGTAGTATTGAATAACATAAACGTTATTGAAAGCGGCATACGTGAAGAGTTACTAGCAAAATGAGAATAAGGAAAGTTCAAAATTATTGGAGCATAGAAATAATAGAGGCATGAATGGCCATGATGAAAATAAAATTATTTGAAATGCCAAAATACATTTTCTATGAAGCAAAATTCATCGATAACGATACCATCGAATCCACAACACTCATACAAGCGGACAGAAGACTATATCTCTATAATAATTCCAATCTATATACTAAAACAAATCCTACATGTGTTCCGATAAACGTGTTAAAGTTACAAACATAAATGTTTGAAAATATTGCGCAGGGCAAATGCTCGCTAATATAACAGTCTATTTGCAAACTAAACTAGAACTCGCGTGTGCTCTGATCGTCACATATGATTATTAAATCCATTGGTCCAAGAATGCTGCACGGGTCCAATATTCAAGTCATATCCTCCTCCATGAAAGGGCCGGAATCGACCTGACTTTAACCATAAAATGCCTTTCAAATTCCTACAAAAATAAAAGTGATTTTAATATCACCCCAATGATGGTCGTGTTGAATGCAAATATCAACTGAAGTGGTCAAACCTCAAATCCAATAAAAAGTCTAAATTCTTAAAATAAAATCTATCACTTAAAAAAATTAAAACTAAAACACATCCATCTCCTGCAACTGTTTGTTGGGGGTGATAAATTTAAAATTAATCTCAGCTCACAAAGAGCAAATTTCATGCTGGGTGTATCACTAAGATTCATCCTCAAATAGTCTCTTGCCAGTAGAATGTGGCACGTGCCCTTTGATCAGGTTGTTTTGCCGCAAAATGACACCATTATATTATGTTCATGACCAAAGCCCGTATGTTCCTTAGTGGCGTCAAACCCTTGAGTAATGAATCATAGAGTATATTCGATAGGCACAAAGCCCTCTGTTAGCTAAGGTGGATTCAGATCTATCCCATTAGACAAACACCCCAGGTCTACAAGGTATTCTTGGACGAAACAACCCATGGATACTTAGAACGTGCCTTCTGTCAGGTTTGGTTGACTACCTCCTCTGACTAAGTTGACCAGAGACCATGATAACTCGAAATGACGAAACAATGGGATCTTGATCGGGCTCGTCTTCATTACCCCATCATCAATTTTAAGTTTGTGGTGATAAACTTTAATTCTTAAACTCTAAAATTCATATCCCAAATTCAAATCCTAAAACTTTTGCTATTATACACTAAATTTGCAACCTTTGTGATCTCTTTAACAACTAGCCTTCAACGAAAGTTCTCTCTTGTTCCCAAGAGGGGTAATTAACTATAAGGGCTTGCGCCTATAGGAAAGTAGAACTTAGATCATAAAGTCCTTGTAAGATGAGGGTGAAATCTCTTGGTAGTGTCTTATCTAAAACCCAATCTACATTCTGAAAATTCACCCGGAAACTAAGCTCGTTAAAACTCTCTGTCGTTATAAACAAACAAGAAAAGAGACTAGTGCGAAGAGGCTTGGGCGCGCCGAGTTTTCGGAGCCCATAGGCTAGATTAATTTGCAGTTGAATTAAGCTTCTGAAGTTGAATTAGTAGCATGTTACTGCAACACTTAAAATATGAATCCGTATGTCGTGCCTTCTAAAATAATACGGACTACTCATATTTTGTGGCTAACTAATCTTCTTTATTCAGTTTTCAAGATGCATTTATTCAATGATTTAGACTTTGATTGGACCTTTTTTGTGTTGGAGAGTTCATTTCGTAGAGACTTTTAGTTCGACTAGAAGTTTACCAAAATCGAAGTTCAAATGATCCCAAATTTAATTTTAGATCTTTCTAGGTTAAATATGTCTCGAGATTCATGCTTGATTGATGCAATTTTTTATGATGCATTAATAACTATTATTTATGCTGCTACCCTCCCCAGCTATCTAATCCACTTTGTATTGTTGGGACCAATGGAATAAACTTTTTTAATATTTGTGTGGTTTTAAAAAAGGTTTGGTGGTATTGATCCTAGCCATCCAAAGTGGATTGATCGGCTATCATCAGTAGTTGTATTATGATAATTGGAGCGATTTTACCTGCAATAAAACACTGGAAAAAACTCTCCTATTCTGTTTACTTTGTACATTTTTAGCCACCAATGAATCCGGAAGGTGAATCTTCTCAGTGACTTTGGTCTACTTTGTATTGTTCAGCGCAACAAGAGGAAGGGTGTATCTTCCACAGGATGAGCTCGCTGATGCCGGGCTTTCAGATGAAGATATATTTAATGGGAAGGTAACTGATAGGTGGAGAAATTTCATGAAAAATCAAATTAGAAGGGCTCGGATGTTCTTTATGGAGGCAGAGAAGGGGGTTTCTGAGCTTAGTCAAGCTAGTAGGTGGCCGGTAAGATTGCAAATACCTTTTGTGTATTTCTCCTCTGTTATTTCTGTGTGCTTTACAAAATATTCTAATTTCAAATAGTTTTAGATATCTAGTATTTAAATGAAATTCAGGTGTATGCAATTCCTTACCAAGATGTATTTCTAACACTCATGCATTACATATAAAAAACGCATCCAGCTGCGTTTTTTAGAACTATACAAATAATTGAATATACTGCCATAATTTATATTTGTATTTCTTAAAAGGTTTCACTTTTGAAGACAGAAATTTAGTTCTAGTTATTATAGGATACTTGTCACAGTGTTGAACACCATCCAGTTGGATATCGGCATTAAACTCTTCAGCAAAAACCGAAGGTTCGAATTATTGCAAAAAATTAATTTTAATAATAATAATAATAAATATTATTATTGATTTATTTTCTTGTGGTTGATATTATTTTGATTTACCTATCGTAAGCATGATTTTTTTTTGCCCAAACTGTTTAGCTTTCAAATTTTATGGCGTTGCATCTGTATAAATTTATTGGATCACTTTTAATTATTACTTGAAAATAGCATTCTCTTCTAGCGCCTTATTTTTTTATTCAATAAGAGGCGTCTTTTGTTAGGTAAATCTTAATTAGAATTATAAAGAACCAATATTTCCTTTTCTGAACTGTTAAAATTATAAAATGCAAGTACTTTTGCCACTCAAATTTTAAGTAATTTATTACCATATTATTGATATAACAATATCAGAAAGACAACCCATGCTACTAATGAATCCTAAAAGGTTTTTCTGGAACATTCGAAGGTTGCAAAAGAACATTAAAATCCACCATTGCGGGGGTCAATAATATAGCATTGATATTCATTTTTTTCCTGCTTGAAACTAAACTACCACACAACATTTCTAACCCATTTCACTATAGGACATACTTAGTTATCCGAATGAAAAAACTTTACCCCTTTCATGATGGTCATGTTTTTTTTTTTTTCTTTTAAATGGAATGCTGACTTTGTTTGCATATCCCCTATTGTATTAAATGTCTAATTTATTCACTCTCTTGTTCAAGGTAGTTCCTTCCCCTCTTTCGTGTTCAATATTGTTATGCTTATAATGGCTCCACTATGAAATATGAACTCTGAGACTTTCATATCAATTTTAACTTCTCTAATTGCCAAAATCTCTATTCGTTCTTTGCTAGTGTTTTTAATATAATCTGATTCTCCCCTGAAAATCAGTGGTAACTTGGTGACTATGTTATCTTCAGAGTTCTATAAAGTGATTGCCATGTTATTCTCAATATTTTTAAGGAGGTGCTCGGTAGGATAACATCTATCTGTTGCAAATTCTTGCTTTCTGGAGGTCATGTTAAGGTCTTGGGTTTCTATTTGTCTCCCTAAAACATTGGTGGGATAAGGCATGCCTAATTGAAATCTATTATTATTTTGGCTAGGTTCTTGGTTGAGTTGAAGTTCATTAAGAATGTTAGTCTTTGGGCTAACAAGATTTGTAGGAAGTATCTCAATAAGTATTCCAATTTTATTATTAAGGACTGTAAGCACTTTGCTATTAGAAAGCCATCCTCGGAAGTTGTACTATCTTTGAAAGGATCTATACTATTTTGTACATAAACATCATCTTCCTGAACTTTTCTTTTACTTTTGATTGGTGATCATAGCCCTTTGGCATTATTTGATTATAATGTTTTCTCAGATTTTGTATTGTATAAGATGTTTAATTAAGGTTTATACTATTTTATCCTAATTTGATTGGGTTATCCTAGGGGTACCCAACCCTTTTAAGTTTGGACTTGGAGAAGCTAAGCAAATACCATCATTCTTATGACCGTTTGCTCAATGAAGACCCTAACCAAAATAATGGGACAACTTGACTTAGATGTTTTAGAGATTAGGCTATGTTAAATTAAACAACTTGACTTAGATGTTATATTTTGAAATGGATATAAAAAATCTTGAATAAGCTAAACATTTGATTCCATTTACGGTAGATACAGTTTACACTCCTTTGATGAGTTGTGAAACTTTGCGGAGGTCACTTATGCAATGAATGCCAAGTTAATAATCCATTTGCTCAGTCACAAATTTTGAGAATCAAATAGGCAGCTTAACAGTCCATTCTCTATTGCCTATAACTTCTCTTGAAAGAATTAAACAAGGTTCAGCAATCTCTCAAACATCCTGGATTTCATCAACTTTTTGTAATTCATTAACAACAAGAAAATGAGGGTAAAGTTTCTTTGAAGGATGCACTTATCTTACTTTATCAACATCTCAATTTATGACAAACTGAAAGAATCAGGGTTGGTGAAATCATCCTATCTTCTCTTGAAAGAATCAGAACTAGGTTCAGCAACCTCTCAATTTTCAGCAACATCATGGTTTTCACCAACATTCTGTATTTCATTAACAACATGAAAATTATGGTCTGAAAGAATCAGTTCTTCGGTCTTTTCAAGAAACTGCTTATCAACAGTCCATTTGTTGATGTATTGGAGTAGATGCAAAGTTATTTGATGTTCATGAAGGAGATTCTTTTTTGCAAATAATAATTAGAAGATTATTAGCCAGGTGCTTTAATAGAATTGTGTTGTGCCATTTTGCAAAGGAAGCTACCCCAAAAAACTCAACGTTCTAAGTAGCTTTACTATTCCATGCACCATAGGCTGAAAAGGCATTATGCGATCATGGAGCTTGTGTCACTTTGATGCCTCCATATATTTACAAATAGCTTGGGATTGGTGAGGTTACGTTAATATCCTTGCATTTGCTTATCATTTGATCAGGTATTCTATTGGAATTGTGGAGGATGTGCTAGTAAAAATTGATTAGTTCAGATTTCCAGCAGATTTCCTAGTTTGGATATGAAATAAAATGATCAAGAGATACCTATTATCTTAAATCATTTCCTTTTGACAATGAGAAGAATCTTGTTGTTCAAAAGAGCAGCTCATTATTAGTGTTCAAGAAGAAGTCACATTCAATGAATTGAAATCAATAAAATATCCAAATTCTAAAGTTGAAGTTATCTTTGTGTGGATATTGCCGATAAATGTGTTTAGTCATTAATTTTGATTGTTCGGGAGAATACTTGCTGCATGTATTATGGATGTCTTCTATTTTGACAATCCTGAGATGGCAAATTGTACTAAAAGTCTTAAAGTAACAGCCACTGATATTCATAAAATAGAATCTTGGAAGACTTTGGAAAACAGACACAACGCGGAGTCCTTTTATTAAGATGCCTCCAACACTTGAATTGAAACAACTACACTTCAATTGAAATAACTACTGATCATCTTATCTATGTATGTATTTTTTGGTGATCCATCGACTCTTTCAATTTTTATTTCAGCTAAGCTGAATGATCAGCAGGAGCTTAAATTGTTAAGAGTGTTGAAGAACACAAAACAGCCCTAGGGTGGTCCGTTGTGAATATAAAGGGATAAGTCCATCTATCTGTATGCATAAATTATTGTTGAAAAAGATTATAAACCTTCAATATAATATTAGACATGATTTAATTCAAATATGAAGGAATTCGTGCATTATAAGTTTTGAAGCTACTTAATGCTGGAATTATTTATCTTATCTTTGGGTGAGACCAGTTCAAGCAGTGCCTAAGAAAAGAGGAATTATGATGGTGCAAATGAAAACAATTCTCATCCCAACAAGTACCATAACTGGATGGAGAGCTGGTTACAAAAAAATGAATAAGGCCGCTGGAAATTACCATTTTCCTATATTGTTCATTGATCAGCTGTTAGATAGACTTGCTGCGATTTTTATTATTGATTTCTTGATGGGTATACGGTTTATGTTATCATATTTGAATTACAATTGTTGCGGACTAGAATATACGCGGCGATAGAGTTAGAAAGTTCACGTCTCAGCATTGTACGAATATCCAACACACAAATAGAAGATGAAATAACACTAGAATTTTTACATGGAAAACCCTGGAAAAGGAAAAAATCACGGGGTCACACCCAGTTGAAAAAGTTTCACTAGTGTTGTTTGAGATACAAGAGGCTGACTCGTCCTTGAAATTTAGGACGATCAAATTACAATGAATCACTTCTAGATTGAAATCCAATTACAGCTTCGGGTAGAGTTCCGGCGTATCTTGGAGATCGGGCAGAATTCTGGTGTTACTTGAACGTCGAGAAGAATTTTTTGCAACCATTCATTTTCTTTCTCCTTCTGCGTTCTAAACTTCTTACAGTTGAGACATTCCCCTATTTTGATAGGTGGCATCCTCTACCCAAATTCAGAGCCTCTCTCTTTGTGTAGAAGTTAGAATTTTTTGCAGTCACTTCTTATCTTCCACCTCCCTCTTTAAGATCTTGCGGTTGGGGAAAAATCGACAATTATCAACCTCTATATTAATGAGCATTTGGCTCTGTGCAGTATTCTCAGACTTTTGTGTTTGTAACTTTAACACATTTATCAGAGCACATGCAGGGTTGTGTTTGGTTTGAAATAGAATTTTATATTAGTGAGCATTTGACCCTGCGCAGTATTCTCAGATATTTGAGTTTGCAGCTTTAACACCTTTGTCGGAGCACATGCAGGGTGTGTTTTAGTATATAGTTTGGAGTTCTTATAGTGATATAACACTTGTCCTCTTGTACTAGTTTTGCAGATTCGGTGGTGTTGGCTCTAACTCGCTTGCATAATATCGGATGGATTTTAGCCATTTTATATCTATAAATATTTTGGCATAGCTTTTAGCTTTCTAGATCAATAAGATCTCTACCTTTCCTTATGTAGTTGTGATATGCCCTCTTCTGACAACATGATGGATATCATTAAAGAGAGTTGGAAAGAAGTCAAGTGATGCTCCTATTAATATGCTAATAGCGCAGGAACGATCTAGCGCATCTGAGTTAAAGGAGACATCTCTTGGCATTAACACTACTCCTTGAATATATCTCCCCAAAACTATTGATTGAAGAATATCGTGTAGATCTGATGGATAATAGAATGACTCTT